ATTTGAAATTTTGGGCCTCAAAATTTTTCTAAGAACGGCCCAAATTGAAAAAATAAATACCAAAGCCATCCATTAAACTTAATTTATACAATAAAAAATTAAAAAATCTTTTTTAAAATATAAAAATAAAATTTATATATATATACTTATATAATTATAATATTTTAATTATATATATTATATTTGAGTCGAGCTGGACTTGGATTTTAATTTTTTTGTTTAATACTCAGTCCAAAATTTTTGTTCAAACCCTCCTAAAATTTGACGGACTTTTAGACCTAGACGGATAGCCTGGCTTTATAACATATCTACTTAACCATAAAAAATCATATTTAGGATTGAATCAAAGTCTTTGATCAATAGCCTAGATAGTAATTGGGTCTGTAAACACCTAATAATTAACAAGTACTCCAACTACAACAACTAAGAGAATGACTGTGAAATGAATGATATTTAATCAAGTTTGATCATTGGTAAAAAATAATAATAATAATAATTGAATAATAAAAAAAAGTATATTTATAGAAAATCAATAAACAAATCAATATAAACCAACATAGAATTAAATTAAATCCAACATACATGAGATTCGATTATAAAATCTAATGCTTCCAATCCCTCTTTCTTATTATTCAGACAAAACTTCATTGATAGTATGAACAAAGTTTTAATTTGTGGAAAATAAAACTCTATTGCTTGGTTTAACACAAAGGTACATAATTGTTCTATTGTAAAATTTTAGTAATAATTATATATAAATTTAATAAAATAAAAAATATATATTTTATATTTTCATGTCGACATGAAATTGTGATATGTAATTTTCATATAAAACATAACACAAGTACATGAATTTCAATTGTTACACAATATAAATACACAAATGATTAAGTAGAGTCTAATAACAAGGAATCATAGAAGCATTTACAATATTTTATACAGACAATGTCTAATTCATGGTGGAAAGTTATAAAAATGATTAATATTATGAATGATCTTTAAATTATAATGAAATATTCAATATAATATTTAAATTTTAAAAATTTATAATATAATATCAAATCTATAAATTTTTAACATCCTAATTATGGTATTTGCAAGGGTGAGTAATTGTGGAGCTACAAAAATAATT